CAAACGATGGCCTCCAACCGACCTAGCACTAGCGTGGCACCTGTTACTACTAGCGTTCTTGTTACTACTAGCGTGGCACCTGTTACTACTAGCGTCCTACAGAATGGAGTTTCTGGTGTTTTGATTCTACTCCGAAGGACGGTGTAACTTCTACACTCCCAAGAGCTTCGACATCTGTCTCCCGAATGTATGGTGCACATGGCCACTGCGAGTTGCTGTGGCGTGAAAGACTTGAAGAATCCATGTGGTCTCTGGCTTGTCATAATTTTAAGCTCCGCAATGTGAACATGTGCTGTCTTGGGCTGTCACTTGCTGACAAGAATGCATTCTCTAAGGCGTAGGGCGGCTGGAATGTCAGAACCCTTCGCTGTACAACGTGTTCAAGACGTGTTCACGACGTGTTTGATTGTTGGTTGAATCGACTTGAACGCCGTTGAAGTGAAGAAAATCTCTTGAAACCACGCAGATTTAGTAGGACTCAGTAGGTTTGTCAACGAATGCAAGAAAAAAGCACTTCCTGAAATGACGCCCGTCATAAACATGTTGCTTCGGTGTTCTCGTCACAAGTGATTCGTCCTTGGTGTGAAAGCTTCGCACAGGCACACCTGGGCACACCTGTTGCTAGGTTGGAGGCCATCGCTAGTAGGTTGGAGGCACTTAAAGGGAGTCTTGAGCTTGTAAGGTCCTAAGAAAGGCAGTTCTGACGACGAGTCATGAGCTCGTGAATTGGCGTTTAAAGAACACTCGTAAGCTCAATTGCCACAACCTACGCTCAAAAGAAGAAGAAACAACACATGTCAAAAACTTGTCTGTGAAAAAACACATTTCAATGACAACTCTTCAATTAGGCCTACTAGGTGGTCTATTGCGCATATTCTGACTGTTTCTAATCCGAAGAGATACCAGTGAGCCAGAAGTGCTTGAGCTGTTGCAAAGCTTGCATGGCCAGTACCATGGCCTACCGAAACTTTTAAAATGTACAACTTTGGCGACCGCCATTCCATAGGGAGAAGTTGAAAGTTGCTTTTCTTCGACTCAGAAACCAAACGGAACCCCTGTCTAACTCGGTAGCTTTGAAAGGGGAACACATTTTTCGTTTGCCTTGGGCCACTCCCACTCTGGAAGAAGCAAGAAATACTTTGAATGCTTTCGCTTGCAACACTTTTACGCCTTAAGTGTCATTGCTTAAGTGTCTCTCCAGCTTGCAATTTGAGACGTCCCATTCGGCTAAAGAGTGGCTGTGATGCGTGGGTCCTCTCTCCTGAGTTTCTCAAATTAATCCTCTGCCTGGGCTCAGCTCGCCATGAGAGCTGTGGCTGTGCCTGTTTGAGACACAAATCGGGAACTGCGAACTGCTCCGGCCGTCCGATAAAGGAACATGTTGCTTTTCACAAGTGGGGCATGCAAGGGATACCCAGTGAGTGTGCCATGCACATTTCTTTTTTGCACTCGCTTCACGCTCTGAGGCTGAGTGTTTCTCACGTGATCAGGTGCGCAGAGCTTCAGAGACCTAAGGAACTGCTGGACTTCAGCTTCTGCAGAACATGTGTTCTTAGTTCGATGTAGCATCCGTCGCCCTTGAGCTACGACTTTTTCGTGCAAGCTGCACTGCGAAATGGCGTGGCTGAAGTGCAAAGTTGTTTGCTCCAGGGTTAGTCATCTACCCAGACTTGGACTTCCTCACTCTCTTCCTTTTAGAGTCTACAAACTGCAGGTATTGTACTTGGTTACTAGGCCTGTACTTCCCCGGTCGTCGAACAGCTGATACAACTGACACAGCCCACACGAGCTTGGTGTGCAATGCCTTTGATTGGGCCCTTTCGCTGTGACGCTGCTAGCATGTGATACAGAACGGTACAATCTGAATCGTTTATGTTCGTAGAGTAGACCTTTGTAGCCTACGTTCATCGGGGTGTGCAATCGCATGAACATGCGTAGTTCATGAACGATAAGCTCTGAGACAAGAGAGCCAACGAGGGGATAACGAGCAAATTGCCAACGAGCCCCCGAGTTGCCAACCAAGCACGCCATCTTGAAGCTCAAGGCAAATCGACGAGCCTTATTTACTGGAGCTCCAACCTAAGAGCGATGGCCTCCATGACTCAGCGGATAGATTACCAAGCACATGACCAACTTCCTTCCGCTGACTTCAACATCAACAGATGCATTTGACTATGGCCGCAGTAAACTTCCCCCTCTAGCAACATTTTTTGGTTCGGATTCCTTCCTAAATCACCGAGAAAGCTGCGTAGAACCTCGACACATGCTAAAATGATCATTGGTCCAGGGTGTGGAATGACTGCATGGCATATGTCAGCTCCTTTAGTCTAGCTCATGCTCACCTGAAACGGACTCAACGGATTGAGAAAGTGCAAATGTTTGGTTTGGAAGGGCTTTACCGGACTTGGCGGATATGCCGAGACTGCCATTTCCTGTGCAACTTGGATGCAGGCCTGTCTGAAGGAAGGCTGTAATTACAAAGGCATTCTTGACGAAGTCCAATGGCAGACAGTCTTCCTTTGCCCTGCGCTATGAACTTTGACCTTCGTCGGATACGCCCAGCTACAAGCGGCACTTCCTCTAGCGCCCAGCTACACGCGATGCTGTGAGCACACTGGCCTCTGCCTGCGCCCCATGGGTCCCATTCTCTCCCATTCTCTCCTGCACCTCTTGGCAGAACCGAACCACCGGGCGCTTCCACCGCAAGCCGTGCGGCTTCGCTCACCAAACGAACTGGTGAGTGAAGCTATTTCGAAGCAAGCTACATGAAATGCTTTCACACTAGGAACCCGTCAAGAGTTTTTGACAGCTATTTTCAACTCAAAACTTGCAAAATGAAAAATAGGAAACGAAGACCGAACGGTCTTGTCACTGCAGATTGTGGGAGTTCATGTTCCGACTCACCCCTGGTGTGAAGGAGCAAAGGGCTGGTTTGCCGCTTGGTTTCAGAGATTGATTTGATTCCTGCCGCAGGAGTTGCCTCCAACTTGCCTTCAGGCTCTGTAATCCCCAGAAAAGTGGCTCGTGTTGCCTTGAGGAGATTGCAGTCGTGACCCCATGATCTATCTTCCGAATGTGCGAGCAGCTGTCAACGCTACCCCGCATGCGGTGCAGGGCAAGTGCAAGATACGTTTCATGAGAAAACTGCCAGTGAAGGATGACTAGGACTGCAAAGACTGGGTCACAAACGATGTAATTACTTTGCATGTCTTGAGCGTTCCAATGCTTCCAGCATCCATTTGGTAAAAGGAAGCTGTCTTTTGATACCTTTAGCGCGCAAGAGGTGTAGTGTATCATTTTCATGTGATAATTGGTGAAGTTCTTCCTGTGGTCTTGCATGTCCAGTGATCAAAGTGTATTTGGTGTATTGTCCTGATGTCAAGTTGCACATCGCAGCTGCCCCAAAGATGCAGTTGCAGGAACAAGAAGCTACTAGTAGCTCCTGGCATCGCTACTAGGAACAAGGGCCTTACTACTAGGAGCAAAGACGCTTTTAGTAACAAGGGGCATTGCTACTAGGAGCAAGGACGCCATTAGTAGCTCCTGGCCTTACTACTAGTAGCAAGCGCATCGCTACTAGTCACAAAGGGCATCGCTACTAGGAGCACAGCCCCAAAGATGATGTTTGGCGTCAGCAGATATCAGGCATACTGTCAGGATTACGTGCCAAAGGATTAATCACAAAGCCAAGCATAACCTGGTCATGTAGGTGTCTTGACACCGGAGATGAGCCAATCATGGGTGTCGGAACGCAAAGACTTTGCTTGAGCATCCATGGACGTTATTCCTGGTATTCCGTGTCAAGTGGAAGTGTGGAAGACAACCAAGTCCATCGAAAGTGCAGACGAACCTATTTGGTTATCTAGTGAGTTGGTTCAATGGCCAATTGTAGTAATTCCAAGAGTGGCATCCACAAGTCGCTTTTTGTGGATCAAGAGACCCCACGCCAGACAAGCCCTTCAGTCTTGTGAGATTGCACATCCAAGTCGCTACAACTTTTCAGTGAAGCCTTTCACACGCAAGAGATACAAGGGTCTCACAGACGGTCTCACAAGGGTCTCAGTCCTCACGCTGTGCATCTCTCTGTGGTCGCACGCTTTCGAGTGAGAGGATGTGACACGCCTGTCCTTTGCTCCTCCACTTGGGAGAGTCAGTAGCTACTAGTAGCTCCTGGCATCGCTACTAGGAACAAGGGCCTTACTACTAGGAGCAAAGACGCTACTAGTAACAAGGGGCATTGCTACTAGGAGCAAGGACGCCATTACTTGGCAGAGACTGGCAAGTGTTGCGCGAATGTGTCGAGTGCCTTTCAGAAGGAGCTCTGAGGCTAGAGGTCACATCAGCAAAGCTGAATGTGCAACAGCTGTCCGATGGTGCTCCAGGACAGCTGGACAGTTGAAAGCGCAACAGTGAGTCAGCGCAACATTCAATCGTTTCTCTGTAGCAGCATCTGATGCATCAGCTGTGAACAGCTCCTGCTTGACATCAATCCCTTTGCTCAAACTCCACCCTTTTTTTCTTGCCAGAGAACCAAAAGGAAAGACGAGCTATTTCAGAGATCCGAAAACCCAGCCGCGGAACGCTTTTCTTGTGCTTCTTGAGGTATTGAGACTTGTAGTTCTGAAAGACTCTTGTGACAGTCAAATAATATAAAGACTCTTGCAGGCCAAAAAACCCGTGTTTGTGTTTGCAACTCTTCAATGTGATTGGCTCGGGCCCACACTGCTCGATTTGTGTTGTTGTTTGACTTGGGTTTGATGCCCGCAGTCTGTAGCACAAAAATGCAAACCATAGATACAGCATTGTGCAGATGGAAGAAGTGAGCCATCCATAGGAGATCTACCACTTACTCCCACCATCCACCATCCAACTGCGTTACTTAAACACCAATTGGGTTCACAAACGAAGCTACGCAGTTAAACTCTCGACTTCTTTTTGGGTTCTCAAAAGAACGTTACATGTGGAAACTTGTGGAACTCTGAAACATGCGCAACCTAACTCGAACCGCTTGAAAGCAACGTTGTGAACTTCAACGAGCTTTATGGAGCACAGTGGCGAGTTGCTGGGGCCTCCGGTACCTTGGACCAAAACTCGACGGTGGCGGCTTGGTTTTGGTCACTTTCGAAACATCCAAAAGGGCCTTATATATATATATTCTTTTTTTTGTTGTTTAAATTTCACTGTCCTGTAAACATCAAGAAGGGTCTCTTCTTCCACGGAGCCAGGAGTAATGACCAGCACGGGATAGTCTCCAGATCTGGAAGCATATTTTCTTGGACTCACGACTTTGCAGTCACCGACTTTCGTACTGAGTCGTACTGAGCGTTGATTACATTGTGTGTTTCATCGAAGAATGTTCAAGCACTGATTTCAATTTCGCAGGTGCCTTCCATCAAGAAGGCAGGAATTTGTTGTGATGTGCCGTTGTTTGCAGTGTTTTTTTCGTGCTAGTATTCCACAGTCCCCTTGCAAGAAAGGGTTCTTGTTTTGGAAGTGTCGTTCTTGCGAAAGCTGAGGCCGCGGCAACTCGGCACAGCGCAGGACTCCTGCCGCCGACACGGCCCCCACAGAAGATACCGCCACCGCCCCAGGCCGGGTGGAACCATGGTGAAACATGGTGAAACTATGTCTTGACGAACTTGGACAAATTTAATTCTAATAGCAAACATTGTTACTACTAGTAAGGCACTTGTTACTACTAGCGATGCACCTGTTACTAGTAGCATTCAGTCACTGAACAATCCCTCAGATTATTTTTGAACATGTTCCTGACAGCTTGCAGTCTCTGCTTTGTCTCTTTGTTCTCGTTCTCAGACTCCTTCTCTCTTGAAATCTTGGATTTTGCTCCGGGCAGGGCATGCTTCGGATCACGGTGGTCACTCCACGGAAGGCACCCGCGCAGCGGCACCGCAGCCACTGCAACGTGTTGTAATTCGTTCACCTTTTGTTTCTTTACCTAATAGTAGTAACAAGTGCCTTACTAGTAGTAACAAGAAGCTAGTAGAAACAATAAGCTAATAGCTTCTTGCTCCTAGTAGTAAGGCCAGGAGCCCCTAGTAGCGATGCCCTTTGCTCCTAGTAGCAAAAGGAACCTACTAGCGTTGTTTTCTCCCTACTCGCCAGGGTGAGTACAAGCTGGAAATCAGTGACGAGTCCACGCGTGAAGATGTGAAACAGCATCTCAAGGCGACGTAGAGAACTGACGGCTACAGACGGGCACACGTCTCATCCGTATCCGAAACGCCCGGACGATCGAAGGAAGCCAAAAGCTTGAACGAGCTCTACAACGATCCCATGATTCCGAAGACTCGGGATGATGTGGAGGTTCGGATTCTCTACAAAGGCGGGACAAGTTTTGTTTGTTTTTTGAGAGAGCTGGTGCGATTTCCAGATTCTGTTTCGAAAAGAATCATTGCCTTCTAAAAAGATCACGAGGTGTCATGACTGACAGATGTCTAGTCTCACTGTGTACTGTACCCGTGACGTATCCGATGACAGGCATCCCGATGACATCTCAATGCTTAAAGGCCTTGGGCGTGACCAACGGATCTAAGCTCCTAGCAGTACCAGTGCCTAGGCACGAATGCAGCTATTTCTTTTTCGGTGGAAGCATGTCAAAGGACATATGAGAACTTGTTACTAGTAGCGATGCACTTGTTCCTAGTAGCTTCTTTGTTACTACTAGTAAGGCACTTGTCACTAGAAGCGATGCACTTGTTCCTAGTAGCGATGCCCTTTGCTCCTAGTAGTGAGCTCTATGAATCGAACGGCATTTTCTGTGTCTCTTGCCGCTGCCAACTGAGTGTCTTCGAGAGCCTCGGATGCGTATGCACAGCGCCAACAATACTGCACCGCGGGGGCTTCTCATGACCTCAACCAGGCCCAGTGTGCCAATCGCTTTGACTCTCAAAGCATCCGAGTTGGACACTCTGGTTTTCGGCCCACTCTTTGGGTTGGTTTCTTCCAGATGTTTCTTTATTTTTCTTTCTCAATTGAAACTTATGTGCATTCACTGCTGTCTAGCCGTTTCTGCACAAAGTTCCACGCCCATGGCGGACAGATTTTCACGGCTTGAGAACGTTCGCAGCTCTTGGCAGCCAGAAGTACTTGAAACAGTACTTGTTGGTCAAAATGGTGAAGTGCAACCAGACGGCGACTACATCGACTACAACGACTGGGAGGATTGGGAGGATTCTTTGCAGAGCTTACAGGCCTCATGGTCCTCCTTCTTGTCGTGGACACAGTCCAGGCACCTTGTGCCTCCCAATCGGCTCACCCATGAACTCTGGCTGAAGCACATGGATGAATTTTTCCAGAAGGAAATGAACGGACACAGGACTTCCAGGACTCCGACCCAGATCACGGCCCATGAGCAGTCGTCGACACTGCGGAGCTTTTGCAGCTTTGCTTGGCGAGCCTTGAGGCTCAGCTAAGACTCACGCTGTGAGGCTTGCTTTCCGAATCCGCTTGGGATTTATGTTCGGTGCAGTGAACAGACCCCTGCATGAACTCGTTCGAATATTCTCATTCTGCCCGTTTCCTGATCAGGCTGACAGTAGGCTTCATCCCTGTGTCTGGCTGAAAAGGTCAGGAACAGCGGTACAAAGGATCTGCCTTTGTGGAAAACATGGTTCTTCGGTAGGAGGCCATCGCGAGCAGGTTGGAGGCCATTGCTATTAGGTTCCTTTTGCTAGGAGCAAAGGACATTGCTACTTGGAGCAAGGACGCTACTAGGGGCTCCTGGCCTTACTACTAGGAGCAAGAAGCTATTTGGTTGGAGGCACTTTCGGCCTTTGAAGTCCTCCAGCCGTGGATCAAATCTGCCAGGGCGTGGAAGCCGTCGCAAGCGCGAGAGCCGAGACAAGCCACTTGGCCGTTTCAGGCTTTCCACTTGTGTTCCACCACTAAAATTCACTTATCATTTTTGATGTTTGGTTGGAGGCCATCGCTTTTAGGTTATTTCTATTCTCAGTTTATATCTCAAACTGCAGCTGCCCGGATCTCCGAGTCGAAACTTGACACCCTTTACTTAACTTTTTGGAAACAAACTGATGCACTCCTTCAGCTTGAACTGAAACTCCACTTCGATGATGTTTTTCCTGTAGGTAGTAGCAATAAAGTTGCCGTGTGAACGGCGGAATTGAGGGAGGACACAGCAGCCACCCAAGCGAAGAAAAAGAAACACCAATGTTTGCGAGGATTCTCCTTGGCAATCATGGTTGAACTGGAGCTACCAAATCATGTAAGCCTGGAGCTCTTTTGCGTCGTGCCTAGTAGCGTTATCTACTTGTCGAGCAAAACATAATTAGCAAACAATCCTTTTCTTCTTATGTACAAGAGTGCTACTAGTCACAAAGGGCATCGCTACTAGGAGCAAGGATGCTTGTAGTAGCTCCTGGCCTTACTACTAGTAACAAGAAGCTACTGAAATTAAGACTTGAATCCTATTAGCTTCCTCTCTACCCTTCTCTTCTGCCTCTTTGGATTTTCGTACACGGCTCCTTTGCTTTGAGCTCACCGCGCAAGGCCTTCTCTCCCTTTAACTTTCAGTTTAATTAAACTGAACAAATTTTAAGTAAACTGAATCAATTCAATTAGTTTTACTTTATTTGAAGCTATTAAGTTATTGTTTGGAAGCAGAACACATACCTCGACAGGTGCTCTTCATCACGCCGGAGGTGGGCAGCTACAGTGCAAACCTGGTGTCGGGGAGCTCAGTAGCGTCCTTGCTCCTAGTAGCGATGCCAGGAGCCCCTAGTAGCTTCTTTGCTCTTAGTAGTAAGGCCATGAGCCCCTAGTAGCTTCTTGTTATTGGTAGCTTCTTATTATTTTTTGATACCTTTAGACTTTAGACCCTACTTCCCAATTGACTTCACATTCATGGCATGCTGAGGCATCCGATACTGAATCCCCACCCTCCGCTGCCCATGCCAACTTGAAGGAACTCAGGAACTTCTTTTCGTTGCCCCGGTTTCACCGGTTAGCTCAAAAGGGCTGGCTGCTAGATGGCTTCCAAATGAAGAAGCACCAAGGCAACGTGTGGCAGTGGGGACAGACCTGTCTCGTGCAACCGCGATCTGAAATTGAGACGAAGACGAAGTCCATGTGTTGAGAGAATCACACACACACACACACGATGGAGAGCGAGGAGCCCCTAGTAGCGTCCTTGCTCCTAGTAGCGATGCCAGGAGCCCCTAGTAGTTTCTTTGCTCCTAGTAGTATGGTCAGGAGCTACTACAAGCGTCCTTGTTCCTAGTAGCGATGCCCTTTGCTCCTAGTAGCATCCTTGACATATGCACAAAGCGAGGCAATTTAAACCGAGAGTATTGCTCGCTTTGATCGCTCTCACCCTTTGCAGCCGCTTTGTTTGTAGACACACCATGAAAGTTTCTAGATGCCAACCTGTAACATGGCCACTGAGTTGTTTGAACTGCAGTTTCAAACCGGATTTGCTTCAGCCTCTAACTACGCAGAGCCGCAAAGATCATGCCACCACGCTGGCCGGGCCTGCAGCTTTTAAAGAGCGGGAGGCCAAAACTACACTGCTTTGTTTCACTGAAGGTGCAAGCAGATAACATTTTAACTTGTACACATGGGAGCAGTTATTAGGTTGGAGGCCATCGCTAGTAGGTTGGGCATCGCTGTTAGGGTGGAGGCTTCATGAGAAGAGACTTTCCATTCCAGTAGTTTCTTTGCTCCTAGTAGTATGGCCAGGAGCTACTACAAGCATCCTTGCTCCTAGTAGCGATGCCCTTTGTTCCGTGTCCTTGCTTCCGGTAAAAGACTCAACCGCGAAGACTGCCCGAGTCGGTCTTTCGTTTGAGGTGCGCACAACACCGGACAGCCACAACGCGAACGTGTCGGAGACATACCGTAACACGTTCTTTTGGAGGTCTCATAAGACCTTTCGTTCACGTTCTTCCTTCCTTTCCTTTTCTTTTTTCTGTAGACCTTAAGACCTTCCTCTATTCCTTTCTGTCGTCGCCGTCGTAGCATTGCCGAGGCATCCGACACTCAACTGGTGAAAGAAGGGGCGGAAGTGGCAGAGGTGCAACATGGTGCAACTGTGCAGTTCTTTAATGAAAAACTGCTGCAAAGTGGTCGATATGTTGGCAGGACCCAATCCACCAAGAGCCTCAGTACTGGGCTCAGAGTTCAGGAGAAGAACAGTCAGGACTTTATATGCCCCTCCACAAATCATTTTTAGGCCTTACAGGTGACACAAGATTGCTGTCTCTCTCTCTCTCTACAATTATATATGAGCCACGGTCAAAACATGCGAAGACCACTTTAGTAAAGAGGGGTAGGTTTGTGCACAAAACCCTGCAAAACGATAAGGTCCACCTCAAAACCGATAACCCCAGCGCTGTATATGATCATAAGTATGCGACGAACTCAAAACACTGTAAAACGATAAGGTCCAACTCAAAACCGATGACGTCCATTTTTTGTTGAAGAAGAATAAGGAGTTTTGACCGTCCCTCATATATATATATATATATTAAGTGTTTCATTTGTACAAGACTTTCGGCTTCCAATACTCAGTGTGAAGCGCCAGTGCTGCGCAGGCGGCCTGCACTGTCCATATCAGCAAGCCGACTTCGGCAGCTGACAAGGCCAAGGCCGAAAGGAGCACCAAGCCAAGGCCCGTTCGTAGCGCCCGATCGCTCGTAGTAGCGATGCCAGGAGCTCATAGTAGCGTCCGATCGCTCCTAGGAGCACCAAGCCAAGGCCAAGGCCCAAACCAACCAGGCTCGGGACAAACAAGTTGAAGATAGACAGGACGTACGCTCGACATTGACCCAAGGCCTCCCGGCCTCCCATGGCATGGAGTGTACACAGCCTTTCCTTTGGATTGCTACTAGTAGTAAGAATGCTCCTAGTAGCGATGCCAGGAGCCCCTAGTAGCGTCCTTGCTCCTAGTAGTAAGGCCAGGAGCCCCTAGTAGTGTCCTTGAATGGAGTAGCGTCCTTGCTCCTAGTAGTAAGTTCAGGAGCCCCTAGTAGTGTCCTTGCTCCTAGTAGTAAGGCCAGGAGCCCCTAGTAGTTTCTTTCCTTTGGAATGGATTTTGATGACAAAAACCTTGCAAACACACGAACAGCATTGTGTGGTCCTTGGTTTACGGGCTGCGGCGGCTTCGGACAGGTACTGGTTCAGCCTCGGGCTCGAGCTCTAAGCACGAAGGTAAAGGAGGAAAAGGAGGAAAAGCCGGGAAAGGGAAGACAAAGGCAAAGAACCCCCCAAAGATCACACAGATCCTAGAAGTTTTGAAAGCTAGACGGGCAGAAGCTGAGCAAGCCAAGCTGACCCGAAAGCAAGAAGAGGCAGCCAAAGCAGGAAAGGCTCCAGCTGCAAGAGCTCCAAAAGCTCAAGCTGCACAAGTTCCAGCAAAAGCACCAGCAGTACCAGCAGCACCGGCAGCAGCACCAAGAGCACCAAAGGCTTCAGCTGCACCGATCGTTCCAAAAAAATCAGCTCCAGCAGCTCCAGCTCCTGAGAATGAATCCATTCTTGCGAAGCGGAGTGTCGAGTTGGAGAACCGAGATCTGGCATGCAAGGCCGGAGGAAGAAACAGTGCCTGGTGGTCGTCGAATTCTGTTGCGTTTGACAAGAATAGCGAGGAACGGAAGGAAGAGCTGAAGACAGAAAGCGCAGTTGGCCCTCAACATAAGTTTCCCCAATCTAGGAACGAAATCAACGACCCGCCTGCGTCCTGTCCCGTACTACTATTTTCCTTTTGCGGCCTCCCCCTGAAAACGGAAGACTTGGAGGCGATCGCTCTTAGGTTGAAGGCCATCGCTCTTAGGTTGGAGGCCATCCCTAGTAGGTTGGAGGCCATTGCTTCCAGGTAGGGGGCACAGTGGACTCGACTTCGTTTGGATCGTTTTCTTCGACCACTTGCCTCGCCCTCACAGGCCATTTGCCGCATCAAGAGGGGCCTGCGTGAAGCTCGCCGCCGAGATGACGGTCGTCCCTTCATCCCGGAGGACTGGGAGACGACCTTCAAGGCACACGAAATTTTGAGAGTGGAGATCTTCAAGTGAACTTGTGTAATTCACGTGATCAGTCCACTTTGCTCCGCTCTGCTTCACTTGCCAGCCCTTCTTGGGATCCTACATCCGCTTCTTGCTCTCCAGACCGGACCAGCTGCTTGTTGGAATCCTCTTTCGATTTCACTGCAGACACAGCGCACAATGCAGTGATTTCTCTTCGACGGTGTGTCGTCCCGAGGTTCAAAGTGCACCAAGGGATGGGTCCGGGACTCTACTCCATTGAGGATGTCACCAACAACGAGGCCAGTGAAGTAGAGAAAGGAATGAGACCTTGCAGAGATTCCAACATGGGCTTGTTGCAACTCAACTCAGTCATATCGGTTGCAAACTGGAGACTTGCTCTTGGAAGAGATAGAAGCGAACATGACGAAAAGAGGGTCTTAAGGTCTGAAGGTTGAATAACAGAAAGAAGAAGCTAGTAGAAACAAGTGCATCGCTACTAGTAACAAGTGCCTTACTAGTAGTAACAAGAAGCTAGTAGAAACTAGTGCATCGCTACTGTTAACAGAAAGAAGAAGGAGAAGAAGGACGAAGACGAAAAAACATCCGTGTTGCTAGTGAGAAGTAAGCCGGCTTAACAATCCCTTCCGGATTACATGCCTGTCTTAGAAGTCACTACCCCTGCTAATAGCGGAGAGTTGAAGACAAGAGCACTATTGGTACTTTGCTGAGTTCCTCGAGCCCGCTCTCGCCAAGTAGTTGCTGCTTTTGCTAGGTAGTGATGCCCAATCAGCTGGCGCCAGGCAAAGGAGGCCACACTTTTTGGTGATCAAAGGGATGAGTTCTGGGAAGACACGCCATTAGGTTGGAGGCCGTTGCTATTAGTGAAGTTTCCCTGAAATTGGAGCCAAATCTTTAGTGCAAGAGCTATCCTGCGTCCTGTCGGTAGTAGCGTACTTGTAGGTAGTAGCTACCTACCTAGCTACCTACCTCTGCTAGCGGCCTGCCCCCCGACGGGCTAAAGAGAAGAGGTCTTGTTACTACTAGTAAGGCCAGGAGCCCCTAGTAGCTTCTTGCTCCAAGTAGCGTGGCACTTGTTTCTACTAGCTTCTTGTTACTACTAGTAAGGCACTTGTTACTAGTAGCGATGCACTTGTTTCTACTAGCTTCTTGTTTCTGGGTGTGTGGCTTTTGGGCGCAGGAAAGAGTTGGATCAGCGCCAAGGCCAAGGCGCACGTGAAGGGTGGATCCAAGGCTGGCTGCAGCCTCGGTGCCAAAGGTGGAAGCAAAGGTAGCAAAGGTCGAAGCAAAGTCGGAAGCAAGGGAGCAGATGTGTCACCAGCAAGTGGCACCAGCAAAGCTGTTGCAATTGGGACTGCGGGTGATGCGGACAAGGCCAGGCCTTTGGGATGCGGGAGATGCAAGTCTGCATTTTCGACATGAGCATATCATGCTGTAGTGTCTTTTGCCAAGTCTTGCAACTCATCCTACATGCGAAGCAAAGCTTTTGCAGATGGAACTGTCGAACTTGCAATTTATTCACGAGCATGTGACAAGCCATTCGTGTCTCTTCCAGGTGACGGAAGAAGCTGCCTTTGCAGCCCTGGAGCAGGCTTTTGAGGCTGAGACAATCAGATTCCTTGCAACTATGGAGAATCTTCCTGACTATCTTAATATGAATACGAGTCATACGTTTCATAAAGCGTCTAAGTGCGGTTGTAGTTTCTGTTCTGCGTCAACTTTGAGGGCGGTGCGATGTGGTGCTATTGCTGTTCAGGAGGTGGATGAGCCTCTGCCTTCGCGCAAGAGGACTTCACTGATCGCCGAACTGTTCTCCGAGGAGCCATTGGGGCCATTGGGAACAGTCAGCTCGCAAACGTAGTCAGAGCATGGGCGGGCAGTTTTGTTGAAATAGCATTTTCGTTTACTTTTGGTAGCAATGCTCGATCTCTGCATGGTTCATTTTTCAACTGGTTTCGGAGGACCCCACAGCGTCTTGTCTTGTCGTATTTTCTCACTTCCGCCCATCTTGCACAAGTCACATTGAGTTTCCCATGTTGCAGGATTCACCCATCAAGCGGCCCTCATGAAGAAGGGACTGTGCCTGACATCTTCGGTTCGAAGCAACTCTGACAAATTGTTCAGCATCGTTGGAGATGGTCATGGAGGTGGAACATGTT